CGCTCTGTCTTTGGTGAATCCTCTCACCCTCCCACGCATCTGGCCTGTACCCCAGTTCTTGTATAAATAAATAAATCTTTTAAAAAATTGTATTTATTTAGTTTATTAGGGTTGCCTGGGTGATTACAATATGCTTCTTAACTTACTAAAGGATTTTCCTTTACTCTCTTTTCCCTGTCCTCTGTTTTATTGTTGTCATATTTTTTAATGTACCTATGTTATAAACTGCACGATGCAGTGTTGTAAACTGTGCTTTAAATTACTAGGTATCCTTTCAAGAAATTAAGAGGAAAAGGAAAATAATGTTTCATATTTACTCACATATTTAACATTTTTGTGTTCTGTAGACTATGCTCTGGCATGAACTTCCTTTAGATTTCTTTCAGTGCAGTTTTCCTAGCAAGAAAATTCCTCAGTTTTTTTATTTATCTGAAGAATGTCTTTATTTTTCCTTCACATTTTGATGGCTATTGTCACTGGATATAGAATTCTGGGTTGACAGGTTTTTTGCCTTTTCCTTTCAGCACTTTAAATATGTCATTCCAGTGCCTTCTAGCCTCCATTATTTTTTATGAAAAGTCAACTCTCATACCTATCATTATTCTCCTATAAGTAATGGGTCATTTTCTCTGACTTCTTTGAAATTTTTCTCTTTATCTTTGGTTTACAGCAGTTTGACTATAATATGCCTATGCTTCGTTTTCTTTTATATATCCTACTTGAGGTCCACTGAGCTGCTCAAATCAATAAACTGATATTTTTCACTAAATGGGAAATTTTAAGCTATTATTTCTTCTTGTACATTTTTTTGCCCTGTTCTCTTTGTGTTCTTCTTCTGAAACTCCAAATATATGTAAGTTATGGCATTTTACATTGTTTCACAGGCCATTAAGCTTTTTGCCTAAATTTACCCACCAGCCACTCCATGGCACAGGGACTATATAAAGCTGTTTAAACACAAGTCTGAAGTTCTTCCTTCCAAGGATCAAATCTCTGCCAGTTTCTGCCTGCTTTTGGATACTGTTTAGAACCTTAAATTTTTTTAAAAATATTTTGTTCAGTATTGACAGTTCTTAATCTGTTGGAAAATTAGGCCAAAACAAACTATTTACAGTTACCCAAAAAACTGTTGATTTTTCAACAAAAAACTATGAACCAGAGACACTTTTTGGGGGTGGGGGGCGGGAGGGGAAGGATTGGGGTCAGAATGGGGCGTTTGCAATTGTATGGGGGAATATAAAAATAAAATTTAATATTAAAAAAAAAACTGTTGATTTTTAAAATATTAATCTGCTGGCTATCCTACTGAATTTTTACAATTTTTGAAAGTTCTTCAAATTGATAGTTTGAAGTTTACTTGCACTTAGTTACAATAGCTGCACAAAATGATAATCTTTTTTCCTTCTTAGCTTTCTTTTTGTCTAGAACCTCCAGGAAAATATTAATTGATAATGGGAATAACTGACAAATCAATTTTATTCTTTAATAATGATGGTAATTTTTCAGCAATAAATATTCTGATTTGTTTATATATTCCTTAGATTAAGAATGTATCCTTTTACTTGTATTTAATAAAGTTTTGTCACAGGTAGTTAGTAAATATCATTAGATGAGGTTTTTGCCATTTACCAATGAAAGTGCATAGCATTTTATTTTGTCTTCATAGCACATTAGTTTTGAAAATAACCTTTTAAAGGGGTAAAAAGTGATACCCATGATCATAAAATTCAACCTGTACATAACAGCACAAAAAAGAAATTTGAACTAACGTGAAGTCTCATCAACCTTACAACATTTTCATCATCTTTTAAAAATTTCTGTATTTTATTCTGCCTAATTTCTGTGTATATATGCTTTCCCTTTTTTTTCCTTGATTACATTTGCTAATGGTTTATCAATTTATTATATTTCCTCTTACTTCTGAAAAATCCCAGCCCTTATACTTATTTAGCATTTATATATTTTTCACTATTGTTTACGTACAGAGGTTTTTAACCACTAAGTTGTGCTATGAAACTCTTTTAAAAGTAAAATCATATGTGAAATCCCACTGCTTAAATAGATAGAAGCCAGGTGCTTGTGATGGAAGCAAAAGAAAGGGAGGGGGAAGGAGGGAGTTTCCCAGAGTCCCACTCACTTGACTTCCCCCTACTCCTTCTGTTCCTTATCAGCCACTTATGACTCCAGAGAGCACTGTTAGACAGCCTCTGTTCTGATTTATTCATTCTGCTTTTATCTTTATTGTTTCCTTCCTCTTATTTTCTATAGGCTTGTTTTATTGCCCTTTGCTGATTCCTTGAGTTGGGTGCTTATTGCATTTATTTTCATTCTTTCTTATTTAATATTGTAACTATTGAAGTCTATGAATTTGTCACTCTGTACAATGCTGGTTATATATTATAATATTTTATACAGGTTATTTTCTCAATAGGTGGTAATTATAGTTTTGAATTTCCACTTTGATTTACAGTATATGTAGGCGTGTGCTTTAACTTATTTTGCTGTTTTTACAGCATTACTGCCTTTTTCTCTTTCTCTCTGTAGAACCTTGAAAAGCTTTTCTTCAGGAAAGACTGTGGGTGGTAGACATTCAGAGTCACAACTGTTTGAAAATATTTTTCTGGTCTCTTTCTGTGTAACCAACATCTTGGCTATATTAAGAATTTTTGAGCAGTTTTTTTCCTTTGAGGCTCTGTAAAAATTCCATCTTCTGATGCTTATTTTGTGGAGAGGCCATTTTGCCCCTTGTTACATAGGTAACATTTATTGAAGAATTTTTAAAATTTCCTTTGAATTTTGTAAGTTCATATTCATCCATTTATTTAATATATCTATAAATGCATTTTATACATGGAATAGCTTCATTCAGATACAGTGCATGCACCATACAAACCACCTATTTAAAGTACACAACTCAGTGGATTTTAGTATAGTCACATAGTTCTGCAGTCATCACCACAATATATTTAGGAACAATGTCATCCTCCTAAAGGAAACCAGGTCCTCTTAGTTTTTACTTCCCAACCTGCCTCCCTCATCCCATAGCCCTAGGCATACTTTATGCTTTTATAGATTTACCTAGTGTGTATATTTCATATAAATGGAAGTATATAATAAGTGGCCCTTATGACTTGCTTCTTTTGCTGAGATAATGATTTCAGAGACTTACTCATTTGTAACATATCAATATTTCATTTTTTATTGCCGAATAATATTCCATTGTTCAGATATATCTCATTTTATTTATCTACTCAGCAGTTGATGAAATATTTTGGCTGTTTCCACATTTTGGCTACTAAGAATAAAGCTGCTATAAACATTTGTGCACAAGTTTTTTTTCACATGTATTTTCATTTGGGTGTATATTTAGTAGTGGAATCACTGGCTCATATGGTAACACTCAGTTTACCCTGTTAAGGAACTGCAAACTTGTTTTATAAAACAGGTGCACCATTTTACATTCCCACCAGCAATGTATGAAGGGTCCATCTTCAACAACATTCATCATTGTCTGTCTCTGAGTGTCGCCATCCTAGTGGGAGTGTAGTATCTCATGGTGGTTTCAATTTCCAGTTGCCTGATGACAATATCTGTTGGCTCTCTTCTCATGTGCTTATTGGCCATTTGTATATTTTCTTTGGATGAATGTCTATTTAGATCCTTTGCTTATTTTAAAATTGGGTTATTTGTATTTTTATTATTGAGTTATGTAAGAGTTCTTTATCTCTTCTACATATAAGTCTTTTCAGTTATGTGATTTGCAGTTCTCCTATTCTGTGGGTTATCTTTTCACTTTCATGATGGCATCCTTTGAAGCACAATAGTTTTTAAAATTTTTGATATTCAATTTATTGTTTTTTTTTAATTGCTCGTTCTTTTGGCATCATATCTAAGAAACTGTCACCTAATCCCAGGTCATGAGGATATATGCCTCTTTTCTTCCAAGAGTCTTATAGTTTTAGCTTTTACATTTAGGTCTTTGTTTCATTTTAAATAATTTATTTTGTATCTTGTGTAAAGTGGGGTCCAACTTCATTATTTGCATATAGATACTCAGTTGTTCAATTTTTTGAGAATACTATTTCCATTGAATTGTCTTGGTCAAAATTGGTCAAAATTTATTGATCATAAATGTGAGGGCTTATTTCTGAATTCTCAGTTCTATTCCTTTGACCTGTGTCTGTCCTGATTGTTTTGATTCTGTAGTATTGCGGTAAGTTTTTTGTTTTGTTTTTTTCTTAAGATCTTACTTATTTAGGGTTCTCCCTATATTATTTATATGCTTTTAGGGATGATAACCCTTCTATACAAAATAAAGGATATAGCTAGTATTTCTAGCAATTATAATCATTATCAATGTATTTCTGAAAATTTGTAATTCCCCAATTTCCTTCAAGATAACATGATTTGTTTCATATTATATATATATTATATTTCCATCATGTTCCTATTTTGTAATGTATGTTCACATTAATTGCCATTTCCTTCTCTTGGACACATTTTTATTTTCCATTTGAGTTCCTTCATTTGGTTGCATTGTCATTTTCATTGATGATGTATCTGCTAATTAATTTTTCTCCTTGAATGTCTGCCCTTTTTGTTCATGGTTTTGTAGTTCAGCTATATTTTTTATTTCAGCTCTATTTATTGGAATTTCTTTCTATTGGCCTATGCCCTTTCATGACTTACTGGTAATATTTATATGTTTAGGAAATTGACAGTCCATCTTTTGCCATTTGTGTATTAGCTTTTAAAATTCATAACAAGGTCCTGGATTATCAGGAGGTACCACCTATATGCATATATAAAATATATTTTTTTATTCTGATAAAATATACATAACATACATATTAGCATTTAACCATTATTAAGTGTTCAGTTCTGTAGCATTACATATATTCATATTGTTTGGTAACCTTAAAGTTTTTAAATAGAAGATAATACCTGTTTCTTAATCCTTAGCACTTCTTTTCTCTTGATCAACCTTCCTTTTCTTTTAGACACTGCAGATTTCCTGGCGGAAGGTTTACGTAATGAAAACCTCAGTGCGGTTGCACGGGAGCACAGAGACCACATTCTACGGGGCTTCCAGCAAATTAAATCTAGGTTTGTTTAAACCAGTTCCATTATTCTTCACGGCTTTTAAACAATTTCAGTAGAATCTACTTTACTGATAGGACACACCTATCATAGTTTTTTGTATGTGGTAGAGACTTGGTCAATATTTACTGAATTGAACTGGAGCCTAGATAGGCAGTTTAGTACAGATTACCAAAACAGAAATGTTTTGATAATTATGTATCTTAAAATAATTCTGCTTTTTGCTTTGGATTGTTATGTTGGTCTTATATTGAACACTTGCAAAATATATGAAAAGCTAAAACATTTATGTTTGTCTAAATTACTAGGGAAGACATTAGAGGCAGTATGAGATAATTAACTTTCCTTGTGATTTTTTTTGGTCTTGATTTTACTTCCACATCTTCTCCCTGAATAGAAAACTTAAAATGAGACTTATCTAGTTGATTCTTTGATCATATTAGAATGTTTTAGACTCAGGCTGGGTTGGATTATCTTGCTCCTTAAGTTTTTGGGTTTTTTTCTCATTTTATTTTTTTATTCTTTTAATATAATTCTTACATCATTTTTCATTTTTTGCACAATGTATGCATTTTCATTTTGGTTATATTCCCCATACGATTCCCACCCCAACCCTTATTTTGACCCTAATTTCTCCTCTCCTCCCCCACCCCCACACACACCCCCCTCATGTGTCTCTGGTTTATAGTTGCTTGTTGATTTTGATTTTTTCTTTATTATAATTAAGTTTTTTTAATTGGCAGTTCTGACCTAATGTGTGCCTTTTAAAATGCAGGCCTCTGACAGATGCATGCACTTGTTTGGGAGAGGAAGAAATAAAATTTTTGTGTTTTTAATGTCTCCTATAAAGATATATTTCCCAACTAAGTCTTGCCTGAAATGTGCTATCTGAATGAGAGCTGGGGATAAGTGAGTGTTACTTTAAGCCTTTTCCAAACTGGTGGTGATGTGATTTGAACTGAGTCCTCTTAGAAAAGGAAGAAACATCTGTACTTTATCAGTGGCATTTTATTTGTGCGGCCTACCATCCTACTTTAAAAACCACATTGAAATGTCTTAGCTGTGAGGATTTTTATCCTTTGGAAGGGCACAGTCAGAATCTACTCCCTCCAGGAATGTGAGAGATTCTCACAAGATGCCCTGCTGGATCTTAATCGATCTTTCCTGCTGGCTAATTAAGCATCACTTTTACTCAGCAACTGGGGACTATGTAATTATCAGCCTGGGTTGCCCTGAATAATTGAAACAAACAGAATACAGAAGGTGGGAGCTTTTTGCAAAAGTGAGACCATCCATAATTTTAGGTAGACTTGAAGAGTATTTAAAGCAAACTTCTGCATAATGTTATTTTATTAGCAGATTTAAGTTTAGGCTCAGTTGTACTTGAAGGCTTACTTAATAACTTGTAGATTTTTTTATTTCTACAAGTTGACCTTTGTATTACAAAAGTACTATAACAATGGCATGAAGAATAAAGATAGAATTATTTAAAATTTTATTTTAGTAAATATAATTGTGTGGTGCTGTTGGTGTAAATCAATGAGAGGGAATGCAAAATCAGTTTTACTGCATATGTAGGGACAAATACAAAATGAAGAATTCTCCCCTCCCAAATTGTACCAAAACATTTGGAAAAGAATAAATTTCAATATGAAATTGGTAATAAATGGTGACTATGGGGACTCATTGTTATCAGTTGTATATTACTTTTTAGTCCTCTTAAAATGCCCCACCCCCACAGATACCCATGCATGCATACACAGAGAAGACTGTTTTTTGTTTTTTTTTTTAAAGATTTATTTATTTATACAAGCACTGGGTACAGTCAGAAGTGCGGGAGGGTGAGAGAATTCACCAGAGCCAGAGCAGGGAGCAGAGCAGGCAGAAGGACCGAAGTACACTGCTGAGGGGAGCGGCGGGCGGCAGGAGAGGTCTGCGGCCATGTGGGACCCTCCTCCGGTGGCTGGGGAGCAGCCGGGGATCGAACCGGCGCTGCAGAGGCTGCGGGCAGCTTCGCAACCAGGCGCTCAACCGCTGCGCCACCCAGGAGGCCCGAGAAGACATTTGTTATGGGGTAGAGAGGGGTCCTTGTTATCAAAGAACTTGCTGTGTGGTTTGTGGGATAGACATTCAGGAAATAATCAGCAGGAGCCCTAGGAAATATCTGCATTGTTGATGGGAGCTTTCTGTTCATTGATTTGTTGCAAGAAAGATGACACTTTATTTAGAATTGCATAATTATCAGATCACAGAGGAAATGAGGAGCCAGAAATTAGATACTGTACAAGAAAATGGAAAAATGAGGCTTTCCTTTGGCAAGCTGTTTGAAATTGCTTTATATCCACCCATTCAATCATTATCCTGCTAATGTAACCCTTGTTTTACTGAATCCTCTTCTTCAGCCATGTTACTTCTATATTCCAGTTATGACTGGTCAACTTATACACTTTTATCTATTGATACTAGTTGGTTTGAAAGATTGTACAATGCCAGCCACATTTACTTGTGTTGAGTGGTAGCTGTCATCCCTCCAAAAGTTGGCTGTGAAAAGAAATTGGAAGTCATCAACTTGAGAGTTAAATGCATGTGACTAGTTGTGGAATAACATGAAAAGAATTGCTGCGAGTCATTTTATAAGTTTTATCTTCAGTCATATTAAAACAATAATGTTTTGTGGGATTGGTACTATTTGAGAGGTAGACTCCATCTGAAACTATAATTTGTCACATCAGGACTTATTTGGAAGGTAGATAAGAAATATCTAGCAAGATAACCTGGGGAAACCACTAGATAAATAGAAATTATAGGATAGAAATTACTCTGTTTATTTACAGCACACACACAACTTTCTACTTTGTTGTTTCCTGGCTTTAGTTCCTTTAATTCTTTTCCCAGTGTTGAGCTGCTTGAGTATGAAAAGAGTGGAGAGAAGGGAAAATACTTCTGCCTTCAATTTTTTTTAAAAAGATTTATTTATTTATTTATACAAGCACTGGGTACAGTCAGAAGCGCGGGAGGGTGAGAGAATTCACCAGAGCCAGAGTGGGGGTGGGGGGGCAGAGCAGGCAGACAGACCGAAGTACACTGCTGAGGGAAGCAGCGGGTAGCAGAAGAGATCTGCGCGCCATGCGGGACCCTCCGGAGGCCCTGCCTTCAATTCTTGATAAGCTCTAAGGGTTAGCCCTAATTTTTATGGTGGCTCAGAATTTAGTGGTGTTTACCACGGCTGTGGATTTGCTGTAAATTAAAGTGTCTGACTGTATCGCAGCTGTTATGATGTGCCATTTGCTACCTTCCTGCTGTCTAAAGTGACTGACCCCAGAAAATGATGGCTGTGTCAAGAGTCACGGGTGTCCTCCGAGGGCTCATCTGTTTTTTTCTGTACCGGTGGCTTAGCTAGTACTAGGAGAGAGAATCTCCTCCTAGCCTTAAAAATGACAAAATTATATTTGTATCTCTATCTAGTTTTTTGACTTAGAAGTTACCAATGAAGGATAATGTGTACCATGTAAGACAAACTGAAAAATGGATAGCAATTTCTGTGATGCCAAAGAATTAAGGAACTGAAGCCCTGTTGTGGTATTTGATGTCCTGAGCTGTGATGTTCATTGTTCTTCTTCAAATTGCCTCCTCCTTTAAACCTTCCCTCTAAAAACTAACAGCTTTCACACTCTGAGTCCAGGTTTTCATTGAGCCCTTTAGAGGATGATTAGGATGAAAGCCAGGCAGAGGCTCCTCCTGTTTTATTATGTGGTCACTGCAGGGTCGATGCCAGATGTGAGACACCTGGAATGAAGCAGGCTTGATCTATACACAGGCACGTGATGCGGCTCCTATGCATTTGGAGAGACAGTCGAGCATTTCTTAAACGTTTGAATCAGGGGAGGCCATCAGGCATCAAGAATACATTGAGAGTGAGGGAAGGGAAGAAGGAAAGAGAATATTTTTATTACTGAGGTGGGATAAATTCTCTTTTGATGGCCCTTTTTGAAACAACTAGTCATTTCCGCTCACTGTTGGAAGCAAAGGCCAGAGCCTTTGGAAACAAACTCAGAGTATTGTTTCCTCCTGTGAATGTGAAAGGAATCCCAAAAAGAGACAGGTAGATTTATAGCACATTGAATTGAAAAGAAATACAGATATAACTTTATATAACTGGGTTATGGCACAAAACACATGACATTTAAAGTACAGGCTGAAAGAGAATCTTGAACATGTCTCAATTTGGGTGGCTGGCATATGGTTTTGCATGAACCATGATACATTAGCATAAATCTCCTAAAAAATACTTCCACTTTTCTTTGGAAACATCAAGTTTTACTTTTCAGCTTAATATGGATTTAACTTTACAACAGGAATTAACTTAAGAATATATTATCCTGATGTCTTTGTATAAAAGGAAGAAAGATAGGCATTAGTTTGATGCAACTTTTGGGGGCAGGAGTTTCAAAGTAAAATACTGTAAATATTGTGACCATTAATTTTTTAAAAAGATTTATTTATTTATGCATATAAGCGCTGGGGTGCAGGCCAGAGATGCAGGGAGTGAGAGAACTCACCAGAGACAGAGTGGGGAGCAGAACAGGCAGATCTACTGAAATACACTGCTGAGGGGAGCAGCTGGTGAGATAGGAAATGTCTGCTGTGCCATGTGGGTCACCTCCCTGGCCGGGACTTGAACTCATGCTGCAGTGGCTGCAGCATAGTGCTGCAGTCTTAACCCCTTGTACCATCAGGGAGGCCCCAAGACCATTAATTACCTAGAGAGTTTTGCCTAAGTGCTTTTACCTACATACTGGTTATCCAGATTAAAAAACTTCAAAGCACATTCAAAGAGAACATATTAAGAGAGCTAATGTATTCCCTCAAATTGTAAAAGCAACCCTAAGAAAAAAGAGAAATAGAGGCATCACATTTACTGACTGCAAACTTCATTATAAAGCAATGATATTAAAAACAATATGGTATTGGCACAAAAATAGATTCATGGACCAAAGGAACAAAAT